CAGATGCGCTGCCATTGTCATAGTCCTTCCATGATTTGCTATAGTCCTTTTGCGTTGTTGATGCGCTTGAATCTTTCTGCTTATGTCACCTTGTAATCGGTAATCATGGACAGCGTGTCAATCTCCATTCCCTCCAGTTGATCTGCACAGAGCATTCAATCGTTCTTCCTGAACTGCTGCTGCATGTCCGTCTTGCCCCAGCTGAATGTAAACGTACCCTGATGTTGTTGAAGCTTCTTCATTTACCTGCTCCACAAAAAAAGTCGCTTGTTTCTTCTTCTTCTTCTTCATGAGGAGGACGGTCCCGAATGGGGACGCACGTCTTTTCGCTTTCGCTTTTGGAGCCTGAGCCTCTGATGCGGAGGCTCGTCCGAATATGTTTCCGAAGAGCGGCACGTCGACTGAATGATGGTCCACGCACAGTCGAAGACTTATGTTGTAAACCAAGTTGGCTGCGGACGCAGACACGTATTTCTTGAGCGCCAAGCAAGGTCAAATGCAAGGCAAATGTCATGGCTTGAGGAGTGAAAAACTTGTCAAAATGAAAAAACTCATGCATTCAATTTGCATGGACATGTCTGTCATGCCCAAGCTCCCCAATAAGCAAACATGGATTCTGCTATCCCGACTCCTGCAAAGGCTGTGATGTCGGGTCCGTGTTTAGTGCTGCGGGCAAACCACTCAACGCCTTGTTCCGCAACATGGTACGGAATGGTGGATGTGCGTCAACATTCAGGAGGTTGCCTGTCAGGACGGCCTTGATCAGCTCGTCTGCTTTGGCTGAATGCTTGGTCAGTGAATCTGCGAGGCAATCTTCACTTGGTACATGTGCAAGGTCGTGCATCTGTCCGCTATTGCTTTCCTTCCGCAACGTTTGGAGTAAACGCATTGTTTCTTTCTGCTCAGGTTGATGGATTTTTGAGGCGGTTGTAAACATTGTTGGCATCGGTTCGAATGTGGACATCTGCAATCTCGCCCGTAATGTCTGACCAGAGACCGCGAAGACAAAAGTCCATGCAATTCAGCAACAGTGGTGGACATTGTTGTGGCGGTGATCTTGTGCGTCTCATAGTCGACCAATGAGCCTCTCGAGTTGAATGAACCTTTACGAAGATCTCGTTCTTCTGCAAGACAGATAACATGCGCACGTTGTGTTGCGATAGATGCGTCTGGAAAACCAACTATACGTGTCTTAACACGAAGGGCCCAGAATCTCACGCTAGGCGGAATGCTCTTGATGGTTCTGACTGTCTTATTGATGGCGCGAACGTCCGCAATGGTAGGTGATGCTGCTCGGGACGCGCACCTGGAGAATTGGTAACCAATGTGGAATTGTGCTCGCGATTGTAACCAACTAATCTGACCGCCACTTCTGTATGCAGTACGCATCTGAGGTGTGAGCGGGGTGTCATCTGTCATGCGCTCGAAGATGTCCTCGAGAAGGCACACTTCGTTGTCAAGCGGCTTCACCTTCAAGTGTCGTAGGATGATGCGGGCAAGACCCTGGCAGAATCTGTAAGGATAGACCTGTGCCAATTGCGTTCTGCTTCCGAAGGTGCCTGCATTGCCCTCAAGAGGCTGATGCTCATGCTTCACCGAGCAGGTGAAGTTCTTGTGTTTTCTTGAAGATTGGTCTCATTACCTTCAAGCTCGTGGGCTTCAAAAATCTGAGTCCGGATTCAGGATCCTTCAGTCCATACGCACAGACATGGAAGTCTCCCCAAGTCATGGATGGGTCTGAAAGTAGTTGTTGCACGCGCCTGCACGGTTCCCTTCTTGGGGTCAAAAGAAGATGTGACCATCAACTCAACGTTGCCCGCTACTTCGAGGTAGCATCGACACAAGAGCGCAGGAACTGCTCCATGTCGTATGTCACAGTGGTGACCTTATGGCCGTTGCCGAGAACCACAGTACCTTTGGACTGATTGGATCCCAGATATAAATCCAAGCCGGTTAAGCAGCTCCCAACCCTTTTTGAGGTTGTTCTTTGGACCAGCCATCTTAAAGTCGTCCACATAGACCACAAGAACTAATTGCAGTTCAGGATGGGTATAGAGCTTGGGAACCAGATTAAGAACCAGACGTCGGACGCGGCATTGTTTCAAGATCTGGGGAGTTCCAGATGGGCCGACTTTTTGGGTTGCCTTGACGGGTGGGATGTGCAGATGGCTGATGCGGTGCAGGCATATATCCAAGCCACACTACGGGGTACGCCTTGTTGGATCGTTCCTGAGGACGACAAAGAACGATGGAATCAGTTCAAAAGACCTGTAGTTCGTTTGGTGAAGGCTTTGCACGGTCATCCTGACGCTGGCACGTTTTGGGAACAGACGTTCCCCGCTTGAAGGTTGCAGCTGCGACGGTTGGAGCCCAAAGCTTCGCTCTGGGGCAGTCGCGCGCGCTGGCCACGTTGCTTGGTCGACTCGCCACGGGCTGCGCCTTCGTTCTTTTCGAAGGCGAGCACGAGGTCGGCGACAAGCCGTCGGCCGTTTGCTGCGTTGGAAGCGCAGAGGCTGGCAACAAGCCGTCGGCCTTTCGCTGGCTGCGTTGGAAGCGCGCGCGGCTGCAGCGACGGGGCAGTTAGGGGCCATCGTTCAGGGCACGGCTTCTGCAATTTCAGCGCGAGCGTTGGGGGCCGTTGCGCAGGCCACGGCTTCAACGATTTCGTCGCGGGCGCGCTGGGACAAAACCTCCCCGAGCCTGGGGAGTTCCGGGGAGGGGTTTCATCAGTTCCAAAGGCTATGTCATCAAGGCGCGGCCATTTTATCAAGGCCAGCCCAAGGGTTCCGTTCGCTCCTGCAAAATGGGCCCCGCTGTGCTTCAACTGAGGAAGCCACGAGTTCAACCATTGGCAGTTCTGGTCTTGTTGGATTCTCTGCATATTCAACCATGGCCCACAGACAGGTGCCATGAAGATGAGATTCGGCGCATGCTCCTTGATGATCTCCATGACCATGTGTCATCCCTTGGATGTCACTACATCAAACTGACGAGAGTCCCAACCTTCAGACCTGCAAGTGCGCAGCATTTGGTAGCGGAGTTGGTTTTCCGCATCGTTCCAGACAAGATGTCATCAGATGGAGAAGGCTTCATGTGCGTAGGCCGATCAACAGGCTTCACTGTGGAAACGCTCAATTTGTCAATGACCGCCAAGCAGCCGCCATCGTGCGACGGAAAAGTCAGCTGGTTCAGATATGAAGAACTCGGCGATGACTGGACAGCCTTCACTACCATCGAAGCATACAAGAAAGGACCACTCTTGAAAAGCATGCTCATTGGAGATGCATACCTGTACAAAGAAATTCTCGACAATACATTGCTTCAAGATCCCGCGGAAGGTGTCAACTACTTCAAGAACACGCTGAAGCAGTAGTTTCTCAAGGGCACAACCAATGTGTACCTGTACAGGCTTCTCAGATCGAAGAAACAATTCAGAGTTCCTCATTTTCACATCCACGTCCGACAATGGACGGCAGGATGATGGCTTCGGAGCCGGCATGGATGACCCTAACTTCTTGGAATCGGCACAGGATTCCATGTTCTTTATGCAAGGCTTCCTTCTCGTCAGACAATAGCAGTTCATTGCCTGTTTTCCCTGTCTCATCTTTTCCACGAATTTTGAAGTTTGTTCGGGGATCTCTTTGCTGCAACTTCTATCCAGCACAACCCCGCAAAAGGATTTGAAGCTGTTTCGGGTTTCTGGAAAGGAACCATCTCCCTGCTGCAATTTTTAGCCAAACCAGAACCGCTCGATTTCAAGCTTTGTCGGCTTTTTGGCAGGAATCATCTTCTTGCTCGCTTTAACTTCTAGATGCGCAACCAAAACTCGCAAAGGCAAGAACCACTCGATGAAAAGCTTTTACGGGGTTGGGGGGGCGGATGTGGGGTTGGGGAACCAACTAGAGCTGTTGGAGCTAGACGCACTTCCACCCAAATGTAACCTGACAAGGCAGTAGCAGATTTCGTACACTCAGCATGCTCTGTTATTGCTAAGATGAAATCGGATCTGTCATCGTGTGGAAACTAGGCCAGTACCTTAACCTCAAGTTGGGGGCTCCGAGCTCCTAATCCGTAATCCGCTTCAAAACATGACAGTCTGAAAGTTAATCCGTAATGCTGGTTAGGAGTCAGGATTGTGTTTGATGAGGCCAGGATAACGAGATAACACCCGAAAAGTTGGCATGAGAAGTTGGAAGGCGAAATAACTCTCGACAAGTTCGCACGACAAGTCGGCAGGTGAAGTAACTCTCGACAAGTTGGCATGAGAAGTTGGCAGGTGAAGTTGCTCTCCAAAAGTTGGCACGAGAAGTTGGTAACTTCTAGACAAGTTGGCATCAGAAGTTGGCAGGCGCAGTAACTCTCGACAAGTTGGCACGACAAGTTGGCAGGTGAAGTTGCTCTCGAAAAGTTGGCACAAGAAGTTGGCAGGTGAGGTTGCTCTCGAAAAGTTGGCACGAGAAGTTGGCAGGTGAATCTCGAAAAGTTGGCTGGCGAAGTTGGCAGGTGAAGTAACTCTCGAAAAGTTGGCTGGCGAAGTTGGCAGGTGAAGTAACTCTCGACAAGTTGGCATGAGAAGTTGGCAGGTGAAGTAACTCTCAAAAAGTTAGCAGGCGAAGTTGGCAAGTGAAGTTTGCAGCCGCTTTTAGAAGAAGAACCCTTCGCAATGCTTCCGGGAAAAAACTCTGAAACTGGCGGATGACCTGTAATCTGCAATGTCTCAAGCCTGCACCAGGATGCATTCATCCTTCTGAACCGTGCACTTACACAACACAAAGGATCATGTTCTGAAACCTCTCAACAAAGTGAAGCATCAAATGTTAGTCGGTGGGCAATTGAAAAAAGTCAATCTACTTGGTGCGATGGGGGAAGACAGCCGAACTTTTGCACAGAAAACTGGGGCCCAGTACACGCCACGGGTGCCATGGTGTGCAGCAATGGGCCAGCTAGCATGGGGCCATCAGCAGTCATTTGAACGATCAAGCTATGATTTGCCACGGGTCTGTCGCCGGTCTTTCGCACAGCTGCCAAGACGGACATCCGTGTCAGAGAAGCTTTGGAGAAGCACATGCGCAAATCGCCCGGCTGCCAGGATGCACTGCGTCTGCTCACCTCTGGCAACGGGCAGCCAAGATGGAAAGACTCTCTAGGGAAATCCGGCGATACCAAACTGCTGGTTCTTCTCTAGCTATGTAAGGCCTGCCCCCAGAACGCTTTGCTCCCGGCAACCTGGCACAAAGACGGTCCCTTGCCGAACCATGAGCGGCGTCTCAAGCCAGGCTGCACACCCCCTGCCAAAATGCAAGCCAGAGTCTAAAAGCTGCCAGCTTCCCTTCTGAAAATAAATGAGATGAACACATAAAAAAGGAACATAAAAATAGGAAAGGACGCCCCCCTCTCAAAAAAAGGGCCCACTAAGAAATCCGAGTTGCCAGGCAGGAGCTGGAAATGAAGGCCTCCTCCACCGTCCACTCCTTGGGGCGAGTATAGGCCTGGTAGGTCACGCCCTGCCTCACCACCCTCTCCGCCGGCGTCATGGCCAAGTCCCTCTCCCCTGGCCCGAAGGGCCAACGGCCAACGGTATCCATGGCTTTCTTACATCCGGCTGAACATACTTGGTTCCCCTTTACAGGCCAAGGACTTGTTCCTTAAACATGCTGCGCATCACCGGTATACATCACATTTGGGGAGAGGGGGTGAACATCAGCAGGCCCTTTGGATCATTTCAAGGGGTACAGGGGGTATGTACAAATAGCATTCAAAGCAAACACGGCGGAAACACACGGGGCCAGGTCTCCCAATGGGGCACGCAGGAGCGTGCACTTGTTGCGGAAATGTGTCAAATCTGGCTGGTTTCAAGTCCAGCCTTCGCTTGTTGAAAGGACCTTCAAACTTCAAACCGTAACTGTCCTCAGCATTTGCAACCTGGGAGGCAAAAATAATATTCCTGCATGTTCCTGCATAGCCTAGCTCAAGGTGCACGTCCATGCAGAAAAAGTGGTCCTGCCGATTCAGCACGCCTCGTGCTCTGCCTGCCACTGCAGAAAGAGTTGCGGAGGAGTACCTTGTTCATGCGAGGAACTTTGCATGCCCGTTGGCATGGGGATTGATCCAGATGCGACCTTACGCCATACAAAAAAGGGACGCCCTGGATTTGGCCAGTCCACCGTCACAAACAATTGGGAGCCGTACCAAAACGCAAGTCAATGAACACGTGTGCGCATTAACGAAATGCAGAATCCGGATCGCTAACTCAACTCATCTTGCTGTGCCCGCTGCGATCTTGAGAAAACCACTCAAGCATCCTTACAAATAAGCGAAAGGTTGAACTGAGGAAAGCGAGCAATGCAGCGGAACAACGCTCTGGCCAGCGCCATGCTTGCCGAAGGGGATGTGTCACAGAGCACCCGCACAAAGCGACTCCGACGCATTTGGCACGCAAGGTGCTCAGTCCAAAGCGAATCTGAACCTGGCTTGAAAGTGTGCAGTGAGATCCCACCAATGTTCACTGCATCCTCCGCATCGGAGACGTAGCCTAAGTCTGGTCACATCCGAGCAAGGGCCAGCACTCAATCCCAATCAGCACTGTGGAAAGCCATGGCACCACCTCAAAATCAATCGATACTCAGCTGCATTAAATAAGAAAGGAGCCCAAAATAGTAGACTCCTGATCCAAGCCTACATGTAACGTGAACACCAGGCACAGGCAAACCTGAACGCATGCCTGAGGCCATCCACAACCCTCACAAGAACCAAGAACAAGGGTCGCTTTCGGACAAATCCGTGCCTGAGGCTGGCACCATGGGATCGGCTGTAGGGGAAGGCCAAGTTCGCAGCGGGGCTGCCCTTCAACCATGCCACCTTGGAGGTGGAAACTGATCTGGAGGCCAGAGCGCTGCAAAATTTGCAGGCTTCCCATCAGATGATTTGAGCATCATGACCAGGGCCTGCATCCAAGGCACCTCTGAGAAGTAGGCAGGTATCGCTGCCCACTCCTTGCAGTGGCCATGAGGTTTTGTGGGAAGGGCCATGTTAATGTGGCACTGACAAACCCCTGAAGGATGCAGCCTGCAAAGCCCGAATGGGCTGCAGGCCCCTTTATTGCTCCACCAAGGGCTGTGCCAAGACTCATCCGGATTTGTCGCCTCATCGCCTTCCCAGCCCTGCCTCCACGAAAAGCATGGGTAAGAGCCTCAGCCCGCGCTCTCCAGGCCGGTGTCGAACATTTGTTCAGGGGATCACTGGATTTCCTCAAAAAGTTGCGGTGGGCTCCAAAAAAGGGTCCGAGAGGGAAATTGAGGGCCACTCTGCCTGTTACCCTGCTTTCCAACTGCAAACCTGTCGTTTCGTCATCTTGCCTGTTGGCTTGTGAGTCCAAAAACAGCCCCACCCCACCCACCCACCCCGACCAATCCAGGAGGCAAGTGTAGGAGGTCCTCCTTCGCCTGGTATCGTCCTTCACCTCCTTCAGCCTGCGCTTTGTCAAAGGTCCTTGCTCGAGCTGATGCCAGTTCCATGGAGCATTTCTGGAGTTGGTGCGAGTGGATTTCTTTTCAGGGCCCTTTCCAACCCGGCGCCCTCCATGTGATCGGCCCATGATTTGTTTGGATCTGCATCTTGCCGCAAACCCAAGAAGAAAAAAAACTGCAGCTTGGCAGTTTCCAGCAACTTCCCCTCCATGCTGGATTTTGGGCATTCCCCAATAAAATCAAACCCAAGGAAGTACTTGCGGCAGAAGGCGATCAAAGGCATCCGCTACATCGCTCGTGTTCGTCGGCAGCTCCTGGGCACAATGCATGCCCAATGCCTGCCTAGAGGCTGCACAGCATGTGCCTAGGTTGCCTTGCAACCTAAAGAAAATAAAAGAACTTCCGCCATGCCTAGCATTGGTGTTCATCCTCACCAGAGGTCAACTGGAAGCTCAGTTCTCAGACCCCGCCTCCAATTCAACGAGCTGGGCCTCTGCATTGGTTTGGAACAGCGCTGCCTTGCTCTTGTACGGCTGGCATTGCTTGTTGACGCCGTAGTAGAGCCTGTCAAACCTGGCACCACGCCAAGCTGCGATGCCATGCGCAGAAATCACGCGGGAAGGGCATAACTGCCGGCATGCTGCTTCGCTTGGCCAGCTCTGGGGCAGCATAGTCTCTGGCGCTGAACAGCTCCGGGATCCTTTCGCAAAAAAAAAAAAAAAACATAGCCAAGCACCACCACCACCACCACCACCGCCACCACCACCACCACCACCACCGGCAGCACCACCACCACCACTACCAGCACCAGCACCAGCACCAGCACCAGCACCAGCACCAGCAACACCACCGCCACCGCCGCCACCACCACCACCACCACCACCCCCGCCACCGCCGCCACCACCACCACCACCACCACCACCACCACCACCAGCACCAGCACCAGCACCACCACCACCGCCACCGCCACCGCCACCACCACCACCACCACCACCACCACCACCACCACCACCACATGGGTTCGCTCTCCATGGGTTGGGTTTGCATGGGCCCTGCACCCCGCTCACGCTTGCATGACTGGGCACGTTGTCATCATCCATACCTATAACCTGGCTCACGGAGCAGTCAGGGACGTCCATACTCACCGCCTCGGTGTGCAAATGACATCCCTCAGCCCTCAGTTTCCGCAACTGGAAGCCGTCCCTGCCTTCGTCCCTCTTGAAACCTGCTGGATTTGGTACATCTGCGCTCTCCTCGGGGCAGGATGGAACTATGAAAGCCCGCAAGCCGCAAGACCAGTTTTCTATAGCGGGGGGGTTCATGTGCGTTCCACATAAGCAGCATGGAAAGGGAGGGGAAACGATTGGCAGTCCAAGTTCTGGGCACATGCCCCCCCCACAAAAAAAAAAAGAAGCCAAAGGCACCACTTGAATGCCGCGGCCCGCTCTCTTCCATTCACCATCGGGGCGAGCGTGGGCAAATCAAAGGCGTCCTCCCACATAGCACGTTGGCAGGCAGAAAAGAATCTGGCTGAAAGCCGTCATGACTAGCTCCCATTCACGTGAGTGCCATCGAGGCTGCGTCTCGAATTGACAACATTCTTGAAACAGCATGTCGGTGTGCCAGTCCACCCTTTTGGGAAGCCAATGAATGTCGATTTTTTCTTGCCTGCCAAAAAAAGTAGCTCGCAACATGCCACTTGCCTTTCGCAAGGCCCTCCTTCTGCACATCCGTGAGTGTCTTCAAGTTGCCGAACTCACATGCCAGGAATACCTTGGCATCCATCCCTAGGCTGCAAACGTGGCACTCAGCCTCAAGCCGGGGGGCCAACTGGCCGTCGCGCAAGGCGTCCAAGCTGCAATCTGTGCACCTGCCGCTCCCGCTTCCAAGCTCCCCCGAGGAATGGATCTGGTAGGGGGCCTACTGAAGGCCGGAGCTCCCGCTGCCAACACACAAGGCCCCACTTGGCGAGACAACATAAAGCCATGGCCACGTTGACCGGGCTTAAAGGACACACCTTTATGACTTTAGGACTCTCCCCAACAAACCTTCTACGTCTGCCCTCTCAGCACCTGCCGTCCTCACGATAGGGGCACGGCTGCACAGCGCCCTGCCAGGCCAGCTGAGGGAGGGAAACCAATCGCAAGCAATCAAATAGCTAAGTTGGGAGTTCGGCCAGGATTTCTACAACGTTCGCTGTAAAAACATCACGAAGGAAAAGCGCAACTCAAATCTTAAATAATCCAACAAAAGCAAAATCGGGCCGCTGTCAGATTGGACTTTGGCCAGCAGGCTTCAACCAGCTTCTGCAACGCAAAAAAAATGACATGGCCAGACATCTCTGGCAACCTGCCTTGCCCGCAGCTTCCAGCACCTCCGCAGCAAAAAACGTCTTTCAAGGCCTCTAGAGCCCCCTCCATCACTGTCTGTACTTGATTGGATTTACCAATCGATCAATTCTCCCACTTGCCATTTGGATGTACCATACTCTACATTTTGGCATTGGGCCAGGGCACAGGAAGCCAGACGGAAGGCAGGGTCCAAATGGCTAGCCTTTGCCAAACCCCGTGATGCGAGATGGACGTTCCCCAGTATGGAGCCAAAGCAGAACTGGCACCTGAAGCGTCTTGATGTAGTCGCCCTCTGTGTGCCAAATGACCTGGGCTTGCTCAAGAACTCAGGCGAAGGTCTGGCCGCCATGTGCTGGGCACGCGATTGCTGCCAGAGGCGCGTAGGGTGCGAGCAAGATCAGAAAGATTCCCATGCAAATCGAGCAGCAGGGATGGATTGGACCTGGCAAGCGGCTTGGACAGCAGGACGCTTGGGCAAAAATCATTGCATGCGCCCGTGGCCCTCAACCCCACAGGAGGAACGCAAACTCTGCCTGAGTCCTCATTGTCGTTCTCCACCTGGAAACGCGTGCGCCGGCCCCTTCATGGGGTGATGGACTGCGACTTTATCCACCTTTCGTTTCTTTTGGTGACCAAGTAGGACCAACAAAAATCCTTTTGGTCAATGGGCTCAAATGCCACACTCTCCCATCCGCCAGTGAGTCCCTTTGGTTTCCCAGTTTGCCTGGAAGAGAAACATGGCTGCCACCCTGTCGAGCCCAGACGTCTGCGATGTGCGAACTGCCCCTTGCGTGTCCACAAGCCTGCTTTTTGTTTGGGGCATATCCGAAAACAGGAAGACTCCACATCTGCACATAGCTCTTCGCAGGCATTCCAATCAAGGGCCTCAGTCCCCGATGCGACTACTCTGGCTCAGACGGGAAAGGCCGTCTAGTCCGACCACTTGCTCTGAAGTTCTTCGGAATGGCTGATATAGGAAACTCCTGTACCCCCTGCATAGGACCAAGGGCAAGGCCTCAAATTGTGCAAAAAGCATTGCAATTTGCTGTTATAAACAAAATGTGTGGTTGGATGTGGTTCACTTGCGATGGGATGGTCGATTCCTTCATGTTCTTTAGCAAGTCAACAGTCCCTGCTCCAACCAACTGCCATTGCCAGGGGGTTGACCTTCACAAACCTGCCAAAGCGCGGGAAGCCCCGAAGATGGGGGGCACCCTCAAGGGTGTCGTACCTACAACTACAACTACTTTCCGAACAGCTTCAGAAACCCTGAAAACGAGTGATGGCCACAACCCTTCCTTGATGCCCTTGCTGAAAACCGAGAGTTGCGCCCTGCAAAGCGCGCCAGACCTGGACGAACACGCATCATACCCGTGACATCCGTGACCCGACTGAAACGCTTGAATCTCCGCCAAGTGATTTCGTGCCACCAGCCCCCCCACTTTCGGATGTTTGTTTAACTTGCCAGTTGGAAAAAGGGGGTCGAGTGGCCACACCTGATAGACTCCCACTCAGGGCAGGGCTCATCCGGCTCTATGGCAAAGTCCGGAGGAGGAACACCGGGTAGATCCCATGTGAGCCCTGGCGCAGGAGCCGATGCCCATCCCACAATATCCTTGGAAAGGCGACCTCCACAAAACGTGGAGCAAAAGGAAGGAACGTGGAACTTCCGATTTCGATGGGATCAGGCCTCCAAAGCGCCGGGCCTTGGCCTCCTTGGCTTCTGCCTCAAACTCGGACATTCCGAACATTTAACATCCGAGGACCGAGGATTTGCGGTTCACTGAGCAAGCACTCGCACCTCGGGCCACGTCACCGGGTCGCGGGACCCGGGGGAAGCAATGACACGCGCTTTGCTAGCCGCTTGAACGCTGCATACTTGCTACATGGCTCTCTCCTACTTTGGCTCCCTCAGACCCGCACTTCCAGAAGCTCAGGGTCAATGACTTCGCCTTGCTTCTGACTCGGCCTCAGCTCCAGGGTTGAAACAAAAGCGTCCGTTCCGTTTTAAATTCCCCAACGGCAGTCCCGGTGATCCCGGGAACCTTCCAATTGGGGGCTCTCTGCATACCAACAGGTTGGTCATCAGACCCACACTTGACACTTGGACCAATTCACCGAGCGCGGCCGCTCCGCAATCGCAGCACAGCTCTTTTCGGAGCACTGCTCGTTGCAAACACCCTCACTGCTTGATGTTCTGGTATTCCCCCCGAAGCTGCTCGTAGCGCTGCAGGTCCTGACGGTGCAGGCCGAACCATCGGGGCTTGGAGCGCGCCGTCCAATGCTAAGTCACATGCCCCGTAGGAGGGTAGAGGCAAGCCAAGGATGTTACTTCCTGCTGCCATTGGTGCAATAACACTGAATCAAAATGGCACAACGTGAACAGCTAGAGATCAAAGGAGCACAGGACAGTCAGGTGGTGTCAACTGACAAATGGTATTTTCAATTTCTTTGGCTCTGCACCTGTCACGCGTGTTCGGTCCTGGCTTCACGCATTGCAATCTTGCTGCTCTGAGGATCCAAGTGGCAAACCCTGTTCTAACATTCAAGAGAGGCACAGGCTCTGGTTGCTCAATCCACTTTGGCCCAACCTTCCAACACCCCCTCACCTCCAAAGGCACCGAGGGTTGCAGGTTGGAGAGCGCCTCCTGAAAGTGCCTCACCAATTGCACTCAACCAGTGTGCTGGATGTGAACACTAACTGCTTTTGAGGCTCTTTAGTGTGCATATGTTTTGTGTTGGTTGCGTGTCGCTGTGCCTTGTCCAGTGTTGCCTGAGTTGTGTTGTGCTTTGTGTCGCTTTGTTGTGCTCTTTTGTTGTGTTGCGTTCTGTTCTGTGGTGTGTCCGTTGTTGTGCATGGGCATTCCGATATGCATTTGGTGTGCTCTTGTGGGTTGCTTGGTTGCCCTGATTGTCTGCAATGTGCGTTATTGAAAGTGGCCTCAATGTTTGTATGGCACCCTCTGTGCAGACACATGTGCTAAGTACCCTGCAACAGGACTAGCAGCGGTAGCCTCGAGGACCATCAGTAGCATGAATTGGGAGAAGCAGCAGAAAACACACTGATTGCCAAATTTCGACCACGCTCTGGGCATCGCAGGGCGTGACACAACTGTCACGCGACCCCCGCCCCCCACCCAAAACCTTCTGCATGGATCTACTAAGTGTGCCGTATTTTTTGTGTGTCAATACATGTCCTACTGAGAGCTCAAGCGCTGTTATTCGCACGTGACAACACTTCTCTGAACCACAAGCCGACACTTTCCACATGAAGCCTAAACCCTAAAACCCTAAGTCGAAACTAACCTCGCAAGACCCAAAAGCCCGGATGAATAGCTAAGCCTTGCTGCGGCTCTTGTAAAACCAACCCCTTTGCCAACGAATATGGGGTGCTGTTGGAATTCCGTTTCCATTCAGCACCACCCCGGCAAAATCCAGACTGCTGAGTTGTTTCAGAACTCCATCCGGGAGTCCAACCGCCCGCCTGCCTTGCTGCCACCCGGACCAGCAATGGCTGCAGGACGCTGAAGCCTCGCCTCGGTTTCGTGCGGATGGTTTTGACCACACGGTTCACTGCCCATACTGCAGTTCTGGAACAACCACTCTGCATGAAGCTTTACGAATCATCGAAGACTTGAGTCAACTGCATCATTGGAAAGCCCATCTAGTGTGGAAGGGGGGGAGCAAGAATGGGCAGGGCAAGGGAATACAGGCACGACGAACCGAAAATGAGGTTAGCAAAACTTCAAGGCGCTTGGGCATAGCCGTCGAGCCCTCAAGCATATTCCGGCCGAGGTGCACCATCTTCAGGGCAGGAGCCAACCCCCCGCACGTGGCCGTCCATCCTCACGGCGAGTCCAGAAGGTGTGAATTTTCTTGGCTTGAAGGTCCCATGCAGGCTTCTCGTGGAAGATCATGGAAGGTTTCGCTTTGGTTCGCATTGCCAAAGAGGGTACCAACGAAATGGCTCCATCCGCCCTTGGGCAAACCCACACCTCAGAGATGAAGGGGAACCGACGTTCAGCCACCGGCGTACTGCAAAAGTTACGCCGCCCTGCCGCAGAACAATCCAGCGTGACACCGGCGGGGGGAGGGGTGGGCACCCTGGAAGGGAAGCGCCTATCAGCTACTCAGGATGACATGCCGTCAAGACCACCACCAAAAAAGACGCTGCACTCCACTATCGCGCTCGTACTGTATCATTGCGCTTGCATCTTGAGCAGCGTTCAATGCTGAGTGAGTACAACGTGAGTACAACCCGGAGCCATGCAGAGGATAAGCATTCAACATCTATGAGAACACACATGGGCTGCTTTTGCCAACAAGGCACATGCAAAAGTAAAAGCCAAAGACTGACGCGCGCAGGCCACACCAAAAGTGCGTCAAAGCTTTGCTGCCGGGCCGCTTTGGCCCGCATCTGTGGGCCCATCTTGCTTTACCAGGCCAACAGCTGCAGAGACATCTCGAAAACCTGCCAGGGCCGCCGACGCTTTCCGGCACGTACACTTGGAACAGGTTCAAGGTGCAATCTCTACTGTTGTACGCCAGTGGGCATTGCAGCCGAGGCCTCGCTCGAGTTGAAATGCCCCCCCCCCCCCACCCCCCTGACAGGCAACACATGCAGGCGAACATAACTTGGCCGCTCTTGGCCCTTTGCATCTGGAGCTGGCCATTGCCCAAACCCTAGCCCTCCAAACTGCAAGGCGTGTGCCAAGCTAAAGGTTCCTGAATCCGATGTAAGCAATCCAACAACCCAACCCACGGCCCACACACCTTTCCCCAAGGTCAGAAAGCCGAAGCCGAATCTTGCCAGGAACCAGAGCCCGCTGAGGATCCCACAGTCGTAAAACAGATGTCCCAAAAAAGATGGACTGGCTCCAGAGCCAAGCAGTTGGATGCGGAAATTATTCGGGGCAAAGAGAGAGAGAGAGAGAAAGACGGAGAGAGACGGAGAGAGACGGAGAGAGACGGAGAGAGACGGAGAGAGACGGAGAGAGACGGAGAGAGACGGAGAGAGACGGAGAGAGACGGAGAGAGACGGAGAGAGACGGAGAGAGACGGACAGAGACGGAGAGAGATGGAGAGAGACGGAGAGAGACGGAGAGAGACGGAGAGAGACGGAGAGAGACGGAGAGAGACGGAGAGAGACGGAGAGAGACGGAGAGAGACGGAGAGAGACGGAGAGAGACGGAGAGAGATGGAGAGAGACGGAGAGAGACGGAGAGACGGAGAGAGACGGAGAGAGACGGGGAGAGAGACGGGGAGAGAGACGGAGAGAGACGGAGAGAGACGGGGAGAGAGACGGGGAGAGAGACAGGGAGAGAGACGGAGAGAGAGACAGGGAGAGAGACAGGGAGAGAGACGGAGAGAGACGGAGAGAGATGGAGAGAGACGGAGAGAGACGGAGACGGAGACGGAGACGAAGACGGAGACGGAGACAGAGACGGAGACGGAGACAGAGACAGAGACAGAGACAGAGACGGAGACGGAGACAGAGACAGAGACAGAGACACACTCACATTCAGTCACATAAAATCTCACGCGGATCCTCACCCCCGACCACCCGCCATGATGCCCCAAAATGCAAGGGATGGTTAAAGCCGACCCACATATTCCCCCGAGAAGCCACTAAAGGAGTTTCAGTAGACATATGGAATCGGTCCGCGATTCGAAGCGCACTGTGACAAGCTGGAGGCTTGCCCCACATCACTCATCTCATCTGGCCTCTTGCAAAAATATGGCACACCAAAGTTGAAAAGGATGGCTGGATTCCTGGCTTTGAAAAGATGTGCATGTACTTCTCGAGGACACACTTTTTTGGCTTGCCTTCAATCCAACGCGAAGCTCCGATCCGGCCAGGGCGCTACCAGAGGGGCCACCCACGTGGTGGGCCAGCACTACTGCCTCGTCAGGATTCATTGGGAGGCTCTTGTCAGGTGTGGATCCGTCCTTTGTGTTGAAGCACGCCCAAAAGGGCGTTCCACAGGGAAACCAGGAGGAAACCAAGAAACAGTTTCGGGGGCTCCCCTGTTTTGAGACAATCCCAAACGTCAGTCGTATGAACTTGCGAAGCGTTGAGTGCAAGAAAAATTGTTTGACAGCTTTGAGGCGTGGACAAAAGCTCATCTCGTTCCACCCTCTCAGGCTCAATGCGAACCTTGTTGGGAAATTTGGACATGGATGTGGCTCCCTGGCAAACCAGCGCAATCGGGGACTCCATGTCTCCCACTTCAGGAGACACACCCACAGCCCAGTCTTCCCAGTCCTGGCAGCTCGCGCTGCCATAGACCACGATGCCCGCCCCGCTCTTCCCCTTGGCCCCATGGCAGGGCCGCCCACAAATGAGATGCACCGAACTCTGCCTACGGCTTTGCGGGAGAAGGATTTCATACATTTGATTGGAAAATCAATGTTATGACCTGGCTAAATCGAAATGGATTTGCCAATCCTTTGGGATTAACCACCTATCCACCTGGCCCATGCTGGGATTCCGGCCAGCTGTGGTGGAGGAAACCTCGGCTTTTGCACAGTCTGTCCCGGGTTGCCTCTGACCCTGTGCGTCCCAGAGCTCGGGGGAATTCAGATATTGATGATATTGGTTCGCGTTGCCAGTCCAAACATTGCCATGGAAGGTCATGGGTGGCTTTGCTGGCATGTACGTGCTTCAGCCAAAACAAATACGTGTTGAATAGAACCTTCAAGTAGAATGCTTGCAGTTGCTGAATGTTCCCCTGCAAGCCAGCCACACAACGACTCCCGTGCCCACACCTTCTTTTTGGCCCTGGCTCCACTGGTCGGTTTGTTTACGGTTCTTCCCACTGGCCACCAGAACACCCCCCCCCCCCAGGCAAAAAAAAAGAGGAAAAAAAAGAGCGACGACCCGTGCCAAGAGGCACGGAAGCGAGATTGGACGCCTCTGGGCACAGCATCTGCAACGTCCTCACCGGGACAAAGCATTCAACCCCCCCCCCCCCCGCTACCCCTCTCTTTATCTAACAACCAGGGATGATACCCACAAAACTGAGGTCATTTCATCTCCCCTTACTGCCCCGAAAGTTCTTGCAACAGGAGGCTGCTCTAGGTGCGCAGCGTGGCAGCGTGGGGGGTGGCCATGTGAATCTGGATTACTGTACACCGATGTTGCAACTCATTGGGACAACTCCTTGTCGTCAGCGTGGCGAGGTGTGCCTCCAGGGTGTCCAGGAACAGCAGAAGCGTGCTGATGGTCACCTGACAGGGACTCTCGAGATGAAGGGGGCAAACCCCGCAAAGTTGACCTGGCGTTCATTGGCATGGAGCTCGAACAACATGGTTTGTTTTGGCGGAATCTACTTTTGAACGTGAGTGCACGCACAAGAGCCCACTTTTGGGCTTGACGCAAAATAAGATATGAAAGCCTCAAAATGTGTGTAGGCCCCAGCCCAAAAAGGCGCTCCACACTTTTGGGGCAGCCAATGTCGGTGTTGCTTACCTGTAGCGCGTCAGCGAGCTCGTGCAGCTTCGCAATGTGCTGCCGCTGAGCGATGGAATACGCATCCGCGCAGAGCACCGAGACATCCGCCCCGGTGAGGTTCGGGGGGCAGGCTTTGGCAACGTTGACCAGCACATCGGCGTCCCCGTCATCCAGCACAAACCTGAGCCAGACGCGGAACGGTCGAACGGCCAAGAGGAAAACGACCAGCGGAAGCCCAAACAGCGCAAAAAGACCCAGCAAACAAACTGAGCGTTCACTACGGTCCATTTCCTCCCAGGCGCTTCCGCGTGATGGCCTTGAGCAGCGGCAGCTTATTCTTGGCCACCCCGAGGTACACCATGCGGTCCAGGCGCCCTGGCCTCAACAAGGACCGGTCCAGCAGGTCCGGGCGATTGGTGGCGCCCACCATAAACACTGTGGCCGGCATGTTGTCCAGCTCCTAATCGGGTGCTCCGGCATTCTTGAAGAGCACCCTTGAATGAACCGTTGTAAAGGCAAACCAGAAGGCCATGTGGGCTTGTCTCAAGAAACTTGGGGGTCTCCAAGAAGGTTTTTTTTTGGGGGGTTTCATTTTGAAACAACCAGAAGGGGGTTCCAACCCATGTGAGGCTGACTTTTGAGCTTTTAGCTGTGGACCAATTGTCAAGGGTCCGCACAAAATCGCCCCCCACAATTCAGTGCCTTGTCATTCTTATTGTTAGCTGTTTTGAAGAGGAGCCAAGCAGAAGTCTGCCTTTTTGGGGGCTGATGGCGATGATATTCATTTGGGCTGCTCCGAGGCAAGCCCTCCCCCTTTTGGGGAAATCAAGCACCCCGCATGTAGAAAACATGGAGCCTCTCTTGTCACCAACGCCGCCACTCCCTCCCTACCCCCCACCCCACCCATCGGCTCCGTGACCAGCTGCGAGACCACTCGGTCCATGACCCCCCCGCTGTCGCTGCCGCGGCCCCGCGCCGGCGCCAAGCTGTCGAGCTCGTCGAAGAAGAGCACGCAGGGTGCCAAGTCCCGGCCATTCTGGAACAAGGACCGCACGTTCTTCTCGCTTTCTCCTGAAGGTCAGCCAGGGAATGAGTGGGTCAAACGGCTTCCACCGTGGGAAAGCATAGGAAAAAGAATTCTAAGGAATCCCCCCCCCAAAAAAAAAAAACACAAAAAACAAGGGAATGAATGAAGAACAAAGATGGCCAGTCAAACAACCATTTGCGCGGGGAACCTTGGACCCAAGGTAGACTCCCCTTTTCCACTAGAAACTTGAGACGAAAGCTGGCACCGTTTGCCAGAAGTGATCCAGCCCCCGGAGTGCCCACAATCTCATCTCTGACCGCGTTTTGCCTGCACTGGAAACGGACAGACAAACATCGACTCAAAAAAGCCCGGCCTATGTACATGGACAGGAGCTCTGGCCCTTTCACGCTGAGGAAGTGCACTTTGCACTCCGTAGCCACCGCCTTCGCCAGCAACGTTTTGCCGGTGCCCGGAGGCCCGAAGAGCAGAACCCCGCTGCGCACCTTCTCGCCGGCGAACATGTCCCCCTGCGAGAGGGGCAGCGTGATGCAGTTCATTATCTCCTCCTTGGCGTCCTGCAGGCCGCCCACATCCGCCCACTGCACCTCAGGAGACTCTCCCATCGATGGCAGCCCAAAGGGGGGAGAACGGCTGTGCCGGCTGTGCCTTTCAATCATTGTAACAATCATGGCATTTTGGGCTCCCTGAAGCTTCAGGGCCCAGCCCAGGCCTTGGAGGCCAAGGTCACGGCCACCTTGGACCCCCCCTGGAGCCGCTTCACCGCCTGTTCGATGCCGTGCTGCAGCTCTGGGCCTGCGGCCGTGTCCGGGCCAGCGCTGGGGTGCGAGAGCATCAGCTCCGCGCACACGGACCGAATGTCGCTGTAGGAGAGGCCTAGGGAGTTTGATTCTTCCGAATGGATTGAAAGCTTGTAAACAGAGGTACCATTTTGGTGAACAAGAAGAATGGCCATGTTGAAACGCCACGTCTTGTCAGCGCATGCCACACAATTAGACCTGAACTTGAACTTGACAAACTCTATGCACCCTCGCGTAGCTCTGCCTGCTGTCAGCTTGGCAATGGTAGCGCCCAAAGGTTTGGATTCCTCGGGCTGTCCGTTGGGCAAAGGCTTGCTTGAGGCCTCTGTTCCGAAGCTCGTCATCAAGCGAGACACCGCAAAGTGCCTCTGGTCCTCGGTTGGGCGAGCCAAGGTCAGCTCAAGGCGGAATGCCTGTCGAAGCGGGCCGCCCACATCTTCCAGGTCCTCACAGGAGCCTCCAACCAGTACTAAGGGCATCCTCCCCTTTGGCTCCATGGTTGTGCGAGCTCGAGCTAGGGCAGTTTCCAAAGCCTCTTGAATGCGGCGCTGCTGAAGCAGTGTGGCTGCTGGCGAGATGGCAGGGCCAATGCGGGACCAGGCCTGCACCCGCCGGAAGCAAAGCAGGCAGGGAGACAAAGCTGCCGCCTCCTCACAGCACTCCTGCACTCTGCTCTCAGCGTTGTCCACCAGCAGCGCGCAGTTCACCTCCAGCAGGTGCAAACCCAGGCGTTCGGCAACGGTTCGCCACAGCACGCGCTTCCCGCAGCCCCTGGGGCCCACCATCAGCACCGCCGGCAGCTCGGGCACCGGGCGGCCCAACTGCCATGCCCGCACCGCCGGGACCAGCATCCCCAGCAGGCGCTCCACCAATGGGCGCAGGGACGGCAAGACCGGCGAAGGCGCCTGGCAGAAGAGGTGGCTGCGGGCGTAAGGGATGGCCCGGGCCTGGCTGGTGCCCTTCAACACGATCTCGGCCGAGGAGTCCACACAGAAGCTTTGGCTCGCCCCGCCCTGGAAGGTCTCCACCTTGAAGCTCTGAAGGGGGCAGAAGGTGAAGCCATGCAGCGGATCACCTGTAGTAGCCTGGCAGGCCCCGAAGCGGGGCGCTGTCTGAAACACCTCTGTCTCGTCGGCATGGCACCTGGGGTTCTCGGCCAACTCGATGTCACAGAGCTGCGCCGGCACGCCCCGGAGCGGGACGGAGAATACCTCGCCCTTGCAAAGCACCCTTGGCACGTGGAAGAATGTCTTCAGGGCAGAAGCACAAGCGGCGCCGCCTACGGCCGACAGCACGAGCCGAGTTCCTCTTGGAGGTTCTAACGCTTCCTGCCAGGCGATGGACACCTCGCTGCGCCCCGGAGTGAGGCCCAAGAATTCGATCAACCCAGCAGGTAAGTGTACCAACGGCAGCTCCTGCAAACTCACCACGTGAAACTGAACATCCCAAAGAACCAAAAAGAACAGTTGGTGTCACAAGCCGTTTCAGGTGGCGCAGGTTCCACCAAGAGGTCTGGACTGCACCCCATTCTTGCCAAGCATCAAGATGAATAAAGCTTCAAAAGCACTCCTTGGGTTGGCCAGGGGGCGCCAGCGCCAGCACCTCCTCCGAGCCCACCGACCGCACCCAGCAAGCGTCCGAAGGAAAAGCATTCCCACGCGATGGCAGCACCAAGAGCCAATCCCCAAGCTTGGCGCCCACGCTGGTCAGCAGCTCCTCGGTTGGAACTGACTCCAGGGGACAGCCCAAGCCCACCACGCGGCCCTTTAGCCAATCTCCAAGTGCCAACTACTGCTGTCAAGCCACTTCCGAAGCGTATGCCTGGCATGGATTGTGTTAACAGTTTTGTCCCCTCTCGCAGTGACTTCTCCCCTTCGACCAATGGCCGGCCTCATGATAGCAAATAATTGGAGTTCCCAACAAAAATGAGAATCTTGAGAATCCTGCACATCTGCCCATCAGATGCACTGTAGGAATCATTGGTGACAGCAATGCAGGTCACAAGGTTGAGAAAAGATGCCGCAGCTGACACTGACACACAAGGACTCAAACCAAGGGGCCTTCTACTGGAATATGTGAACCACCCCCAGGGCTTCATCTCGCTCAAATTGCTTGTCGAAAGGATCCTGCACAGATCACTGTAAATCTGCCAACTGGAAGCATGTTGGGTTTCGCAGTGCGTGCGCGCGTGCGAAAGGATACCAAGTTGAGATCCCGCCCCCCAACCCGACGTGCGGTTCCACTCGCGGAAGGTGCGCGAACTCGCAGGCCTCGTGGAAGGTGTCCCTCTTGCGCTCGGAGCGCTCCGAGGCACCGGCGCTTGGCAAGGGGTGCAGCAATCGGCCCACCAGGGCCTTGGCATACCTGGGCCAGTCTGTGGCTTGGAGGGTGTTCCAACAAGGATTCGAGGAAGAAAAAAAATGCTTAAGAGGGGGTAAGGTGAGAGGAAGCAGCCAGGGACATGGGAAAAACATGAACTAGCTGTTGGCTTTCATCTGCCCATCAGCAAGTTCAAAAATGTTCCTGGTATCCCGCAGTGCCACCTCTCTGCGTATCAGGTCCTGAATGGCACGCGCTGCCACTGAGATCCCAGCCTAAGGTTCTGGAAGGAAGCTGCGCCATCCATGGCCGCCGCACCCCCAACCCGGGCATTTCGAAGGGACCAAACGTGCGCAGCATGCTGCTCTGAGCTACCGGACATCTGGGCGTGTTTGAAGATGTTCGATGTCTGAAAAGACTTGCGTTTGGATGACCTGACTGACCCCTCTCTTACCGAACCGAGGCAAACAACAGGAAACTACTAGGGCGTTGTGCAAACTCGGCCGGCATGAAACACGAGACGAGCCTGCGCACCACACATTTGATACAAGTGACATGGAAGCTGCAACACCTATCTGGGTTCCAACTACGCACAGAAGAAAAAGTGTCATTCCCAGCCCACTTTGTCCATGGGCAACGCTTCTGAAGGCTTTCCCCAGTTGCTCTAAATGTGCCCATGCGAAACAAAGCATCCGACATTTCACTGGCCAAGGCACCTCTGAGTTGACCGGTTTGCGGGATGATGGTTTGGCGGCAGCTCTTGTGTGTTGACCGGTGGAGTTTTTTGATGGTACGAGTGTTCTTGGGCAGCCCAACTCAAAGGATGCCAGGGCAAAATCAAAGGTAAACCAAGCGAAACTCAAACGAAAGCAAGGGTGTTTCCCATTTTGGGACCAGCCTTGCAGACCTGGGGCTGAGGCGAGAAAATCCCTATGAGTCCGGCAGAGCCTGCGGCGCCCAGCACCTGGCGGAAAAACTGCCGCCAACTATTTGGTGCCCCCCTAAGGAATCTGCACGGCCGAAAACATTCCAATGCAGATCCAGATCTTTCCCATACAGCTTCGGCAACCCGGCTGGAGCCAGGCATTCCTTTTGTAGACCAGTCACCAGTCAAACGCGCAGCATTTCGCGAGGTCATCCCCAACTTGCCCCGCCGAAGCAAACGAAACGTGGCCTCTTTCGACTGGTAGTGGCGCCAGGCAGAACCTCAGGGGTGATGGAACGAGAGCCCGTCAACAAATGGGAACCCCTGCCGAATGTACTAAGACCCTGTTTGTAAATCCCTCGCATGGCGGGAATGACGTGCACACCACACTAAAAAATCTGCTCGTTTGGACATACCCATTTAGGTTTCGACCAGAATAGAAAAATAATCCCACAAAGAGGATGTCGCACCTCCTGCCGGCGCAATGGGTTTCGGCGCAGTGGGCCTCAAAAATGTGCAAAAATGAGATTCATCTGCTGCAAGCACGCGGGCGTAAACTTCAATTAGGGGCGTTTTGGTGGAAGAATCGGTGCAAGCAAAACAGCACCCTCTCAGGGCGGCACTTGCTCATTCCGCGTGCCGCCTCCCTCCGACGAGGGCTGCACACCCAAGAACGGCTCTATTCTCATATCCTGTCTCGCCCCGGAACTGCGGCAAAGCAAGCATCACAATATCATGTTTTTTGCGCTGCTCGCCCTGGGTCGTCGGTCATGTGGGGCAACATTTTTATTTTTTTTTGGCGCGCGTGGGTGAGACGAGCAGTGAAACGGCTGAGTGAAACGACGAGCAGGGCGCCCCGCCGACACGCCCTCACAAGCGGAGGGGGGGCCGCGACAGGCACCATCACCCGCGGAGGGGGAGGCTGCTGGGGGCGCGCAGGGCCAGGCAGAGGACATCCCCGAGCAACGGCCCCTCCCCTCCAGCAGGCAGAGGCGGCGACATCCAGCGGCCGAGGACGGTGCTGCAAACCGCGCGCTGCACCCAGCATGCCCCACCAGCGCCGACTCCAGCCGGCGCGAGCGACCCGCCGCACCGCGGGTGGAGCCCGCCTGGCGCGCACGCGGGCAAGCTGTCGGACAAAGGCCGCGGCAGTAGCATGCCAACGGCCACCGACCTCAGCCGCGAGGACGACCAAGCGCTGCGGGCCAGGCTGGCCCAGCTCGGGGTACCGCGTGCGCTTCCGCCGCTCAGCTGTGGACAGCGCGACGCCATCGCGATCCGCCGCGCCGGCGTGTGGCCGGCCATCACTGCGGACAGGGCTGACGAGCGCATCGCAGCACAGGGCTTCTCCCCGCTCCGTGGCCCCGTAGACGACCAAGTCAAGCCCCCAAGAGCAGTGGTCCGGGAGAGCCACTGCTGTGGCACGACGCGGCCCTCTGGGCCGACAGCCTCGCGTGCAACTCGCACCCACGCTTGCTCAACGGCCAGGGCGCGACGGGCAAGCAAGCCGGAACGAGGGCAGGAGACCCGATGGTCGCCCAACACATCGGCCTCGCGTCCGCAGACCGGCTGGCCATCGCCGCCACAACGTCGCTGCGTCAGGGGCAGTGGCAACCTCAAGCGCCTGCGCAAAGCGAGCCATGCGCCTGCCTGCGTGCCACTCTGGGACCGCAGAAGCGCTCGCAAGGCTGGCGCGAGGGCGGGCATTACCTCATGCTCCCTGTAAGACAGGTTCAGTGCGGAAGCAGCGTGCCTTTGCCAACCTCGCGGCAGGTCGCTTGGCTCTGCAATCTCAGATGCGCGCGGCAGATCAGGCGCGGCCAAGCAGGCCGGGCCTCCCAGCCGGCAGCCTCTAAACTGCGCGCCGCAGCTGCAGCCTCGCGCAACGCGGGGCCCGCAGCTTCCTCTTCGAAAAGCTGTTCACGTACGCACCGCGCAGCAACATCCGGCCGGCGCTGATGCAGGACAGGCAAGGCATCAGCCCAGGCCGCCCAACACGCCGCCGGTCGCAGACGGCACGCGCTGGACAAGCCAAGGCCGCCGAGCCGTGCGGGGAGGAAGGCCAGTTGGCGCGCCTGGTCCCGCTCGGCCTCGTCGTCGCCAGGCGACCCCAGAAGCTGCTGCAGCGTGCGCCAGATGGCGGTATCGTGGTCCCTGGCGTAACCTGCCGAAAGCGAAGGGGGCAGGGTCCGTATCAAGTGATTAGCTCGGGGGCTCGCGCATTGCAGCAGGCTCTGCAGGTCGGGCAACTTTGCGATTTTGTCGAGCAACCGCTGCGCCTCCCCAAGGCGGGCCTCCGCCGCTGCAGCGACGAACTCATGCGTGCCGATTGGGGTGCCTACTGCCAGGAAGCCGCGCTCGGCCGGCGGCTTGTCGCCGCGCCACACGTCCGGTCCGAGCTCGGCGATGCCAGGCGGCGTCGGGCCTGGAGTCGCACTGTAGGCCCGTGTTTTCCCACACCATTTTCATCACAAGGCCGGCGCCAATTTGTCACACAAGGCCGAGGAAACAACGGCAACCGGTCAAGCAAGCCTTTCACAGTCGTGTGCCAACACGTCCTGATCACGCCAGCGCGCGAAGTCCGCGAGGCAAAACGGCGATTTTTGGCTGCCTTCGTGGTCTGGTGCAAGCATGTGCTTTTGCGTTTCAATCCAAGTCGTGCACGACTTGGCCGGTTTTTTTTTTTTTTTTTCTCAGCGCGCGGGTGGAGGCTTGATGCGCGAGATGCACACACACACGCACACACGCACACACACACACACACACACACACACACACACACACACACACACACACACACACACACACCAACAAAACAAAAAACAAACTCTCGTCACGCGTCAGTTGCTGCACGCTCAAACTCGATCAAACGCGCACAGCACGGTGGTTGCCAGGAGTGTTGAGACCCACACGTGCGGGCGCAGCATAGCCATTTGCTCTTGAAATGCCAAATCCTTTTTCGTGGCGTTCACAAAGCCTTTTTTTCCTTCCACAGGTTTGCGAGGTGCGGAGGGGCGGCGCTCACTGAGTGGCGGAGCGTCGCCGTCACAGTTGGATTGGCCAGGCGAGACAGAGCCGAGGAGGAGGGACTCCGCGAAGGCCTGGTGGGCGGCAGACGCGAGCAAGGCGGACCAACGGGCAACGAAAGCGGAGACGACTGAAGGCTGAAGGAACGCCGGCGTGGAGCGAGCTTGCGCACGAGCCACCGGCCCCCGACCTCGATGGCAAGCACGACAAGGCGGCACCGCTGGGAGCGCAGCAGCTCCGGGTAGGCTTCGCGCAGGGCGTCCCCGTCAGCGCGGCCAGCGCTCGCCGGAAAAGGACGGAGGCGAACATGGTATCGACCGCTACCTGAGCTCCATTCCAAAAGGGGGGGTTCGCGACTGGCGGCGGGTGGCGGAGGGCAGTGGCACGCTGCTGGGCGGGAGCGAGCCAAAAGCCGCCGGAAAAATCACTGACGACTAACCCCGGGCGCGCCCAAACGGCTTGCGCAGAGCAATCAAGCGACTCAGGCCGAGCGCAGGAGCAACAGCAGCTGGGATCCGGGCACGGGCCAGGAGCTGGGCAACCTTGAAAAACAGCTCGGAGTCGGCCTTGTTGTCCAGCACAAGCCGGGCGGTTTCCGCACTGAGCGCAAACGAGGAGCCGAAGCGGGCCTGCCGCAGCCTTCTGGTCGACCGTGGCGGCGTACTGGGCTTCGTGGGCCGAGAGCTTGGCGGCACTCCAACCCGACGGGCCTCAGTTCATTGGCAGCTCCCGTGCCTTGCTTTCTGGCGAGCCACAGCCGCAGCGCTTGCCGTGTCCGGCCCAGGAAGTGGCTGTGCGTGGTTGCCTGTCCGGACCGCGTCAACGCTGGCCAAACCAAGGTCTGGAATGCAAGTGAGTTGGCCTCCGGTGCTGTTCCCGTTTTCTTTGGTCCGCGGTGCCAAGGACCCTGACCAGCAAAAAAACACCCCTTTCGTAGCGGCGCAGCTGGGCGCCCTGAGAGCAGCATGGTCGGGCAAAGGCGGCCCAGGACCAGGAGTCGGCGAGGAGGCAGCATCCGGTACTGGTTCGGGGGCCTGCGTAGGCGAGGCTACAGGCACTGCCGTGTGCGCGGGTGCTTGGGCAAGCCATTCGTGGCCGGGCACACAGGGCCAGTCGGAATGCTCGAGGCTGAACCTTGTCAGCACACGGGGCTCTCACCAAGGGAGACATGGAGCCGGGTTTCTTAGCTGGGATGGCCCCCTGGGATGCAACACGTGACGAAAACAGTGGCTGCGGCCGGCAGCGCTTGGCCGGCAGTCTCCAACTGTCCGCAACGCATCAATTTCCTGCGGCGGCACTGGTCAACTGTCAAGGCGGGACGCAACTTGCAGGCCTTGGAGGGCCGCGACAAACATCTGCCAAGGAACCGCGAAAGGCCGCGGAGCAAGTCCAC